TTAAAAATCAAGTCAAATCTAAATATGAAGGTAAAAGTAAACCATCCTTTTAAAAAAAAAATCCTGCTATTGGAAAGTATCGAAGTTTGAGCAATGTGGGTTGTTTAAGCTGTCATTCTGGATATTAGGATGGAGTTTATTGCTGAAGAAAACATGATGTATCAGAAATGACCTCTATTTTACGGAATCTCAACCTATTTCTGAAATCTTCCTTTCGAGCTATGTTTTAAAAACTGCTGCTCTTTTAGTAGCCTTCTCTCTTTTTATAACTTTTATTTCCTCGATTGAGGGAAGCATTTATGATCAGTGATTTATTCCATGATGTTGCCGTATCAGCCACTTTGGGAGGACTTTCCCTCTGGAAGGCACCCCTGCCTTTTTTTGAAATGAGCAAGCAACTAAACAGAAGAATTTGCTGTAAATGCTTTATATGAAATTGGCAAGTATCGCAACCATGATTCGCTTCCCTGGCGGAGTCCTTTATTTTTGCTGATCGCTACTTTAATCCAGTTCAAGATTCAGTGAGGCGTCTAATCAAGTACTGACTGATATGAGTGGTAGCTACTCTCCAGAGACACAGGTGGAATTCTCACTCTGGCTACCTAAAACCCTTGGGCATTTCTGTAGAGAAATACACGTGATCTACCATTGAGAGTATTCATATTTCATTACAAATGTTTCTCAGATCTGTTTCCTTCTTTCCTTCAGGCAGGCTCGAGTTTTGGCTTAGTCCAAATCAATATCGTTTCCTGGCTTATAGCCAGTGGTGGGATTCAAATAATGTAAAACTAAGGTTCGCCCAGGGTCAGGTTGTCTGTCATGAGAGACATGGCCCAATTTAACCCTGGGAGAAGCGGTTGTTAAATTACACCCCCCCACCCCGCTATCAAAGTGGATCCTGGGTGCTGCACTGCACTGCAATGGAGAAACGGGAAATGGAGCGTCTGGCACGAGGGGAGGAGGAGGAGCACTGGCCACTCCGTTGCCCATTTCTCCATTGCAGCACAGCGCAGCGCCCAGGATCCACTTTGATAGTTTTGTGTGTGTGTGATTTAACAACCGGTTTGCTTGAACCGGTGCAAACCGGCTGAATCCCAGCACTGGTTGTAGCTCACTAACCTTTGCAACGCAATTGGTGTGTGAAAAATATTTACTAAAAAAGGCTAGCATGTTCTCCCTGGGAAGGGAGCTGTACAGGTAGTCCTCAATTTACAACCATTCATTTAGTGGCCATTTGAAGTTCCAATGGAAAAAAAATGATATGATGACTATTGCAGCATCCCCATGATTATGTGGTCAAAATTCGGACACTTGACCACTATTTATGATACCATGTTTTCCCGAAAATAAGACCCTGTCTTATATTTTTTTGAACCCCGAAATAAGCTCTTGGCCTTATTTTTGGGGAGATCTTATTATTTTGGGGCGCGTGGAGCAAAACAGGGATCCTCTTGCCATCTTACCTGATTTCCAGCTCTGCATTTAAATATTTTCGGGGGAGGCTTGTTTTAGCACATGCACTCAAAAGCCCGATTGGGCTTATTTTCAGGGAAACAGGGTAGTTGCGCTGCCCCAAAATTGTGTGATCAACTTTTGCAAATTTCTGACATGCAAAGTCAATGGGGAAGCAAGATTCACTGTAGTGATTTACTTAACAACTGCGGCCAGAAAGGTCATAAAATGGAGGCAAAACGCATTAACAAATGTCTTGCTTAACAATGGTAATTTTGGTCTCAATTGTGGTCATAAATTGAGGATTACCTGTGTAACTTTTGAGGAGCTATGAGGCATACTTGGCAATGGGTGGCCACACTTCAAAAAAATCATGGGTAGAACAGAACAGTGGTGGGTGGCTCCTGGTTCGCACCGGTTCGCAAGAACCGGTAGTAAAAATTTGTAGCAGTTCCGAGAACCGGTAATAACACTGGCTGGCCATGCCCCTGAACCGGTCCCCGGCCTGGTCGCTGCTCGCTTACCCCGTCCACCTCATCAGAGGCTTTTTTTTTTAACTTTTAAAAGCATTTTTTCTACAACCTCTTCGGCTGAAAAAATGCTTTTTTTAAAAAAAAAAACCTCTGATGATCCCGCGGCTCAGCTGGGATCGTCAGAGGCTTTTCAAAGCATTTTTTCTACAACCTCTTCAGCTGAAGAGGTGGTAAAAAAAATGCTTTGAAAAGCCTCTGACGATCCGAGCTGAGTTGCCTGATCGACAGAGGCTTTTCAAAGCATTGTTTTCTGCAACCTCTTAAGGTTGTAGAAAAAATGCTTTTAAAAGTTTTAAAAAAAAAAGTTGGCCACGCCCACCCACTCCACCATTACCCCCCACCAAGTCACACCCACAAAATAAGACACGCCCACAGAACCGGTAGTAAAAAATTTTAGAACCCACCCCTGGAACAGAACGAAAAGGAAACGTTGCATCTCCTGCTTAATCATTTCTCTACCCGATCACTAAGCAGATTACAACTTGGTAGCAACTTTTAAGGGTCTCTGGAGCCATGATGGAGAAGGATTTCAGGAGCAACATGCAGTCCTGAGGCTGTGGTTTGTTCACCTCTAACCTAAGCTAGGAGGCTGAGAATGCAAGGCAATATACAGTTGCCAGGGTTGAAGTAACATTAAAAATGCTTTTACCAGCTGTAATTTACACTTTCATTTATAATTCAAATGATTTACAAATCATTCAGTGCCTTCTTCCCAGTAAAATTTGATAAGACAACACTTATGCAATGTGGTGGCGCAGTGGTTAGAATGCAGTACTGCAAGTTACTTCTGTGGACTGCCGGCTGCCAGCAGTTTGGCAGTTCAATTCTCACTGGCTCAGGATTGACTCATGTCTTCCATCTTTCCGAGGTCGGTAAAATGAGGACCCAGATTGTTGGGGGCAATAGGCTGACCCTGTAAACCTCTTACAGAGGGCTGTAGGGCACTGTGAAGCGGTATATAAGTCTAAGTGCTATTGCTATTGATATTATGCAGAACAGGTGCCATGTAATAATTCAGGCACAGAATTTGGACTAGTGACTCCACCATCTAGTTCCTAGTTGCAGGGAATTCAATGCAAGACTTCCCCCGCTCCGCTCTCCCTTTCCTCCTTCCCCTCTCCCCCTCTGCCTCTCTCCCTCTCTCTCTCTTCATCATTGTCGCCATTGCCATCCCTTGCTTCATAGCTATTTCATTGAGGGCCAAATTGCATGAATCCTTCCCATGTACCTCACTTCAAGCTCTCATAGGAATTAAATGCAGGAAATCATAATCATCATTTATCATCCCAATTTACCTGACTTCTTTCTCCCTGGCTACATAGAACACTAATTTGTTTCTTTGTGGTTTAATGTGTTATATGAACCCAGTTGTTTGTGGTCCTTTCAGTAAATGTGATGGAGGAAATCTTGCTTTCTCTTTGTGTGTTAAGCCAATGTCTTAATTCCAGCGAGGCAACAAAATGCATACTGTGACTCTTCAGTACTTCTCCAAGCTTCAGTTCCCAGACCCAGACTGGAGAAGTAGGCAGGGAGGTGGCGAACCATAGAAACCAAATGAAAATTCTCATGTGAATTGTCCTAAATGCTTGACAGCGTAGAAGATGGACAATCACTGAAAGGCAAAAGAATTTTCCAAAATTATCCAGAAACAAGAGAGCATGGGGTGAAAAAAAGGTCTTTTCAGCATCTGTTTTAGGCACTCTTTTCGTCCTTTCTCTCTGCCTTTGGCAAACCCCTGCTAAACAAACTTAAACAAGCTTGTTTGGGATAGATCTTCTTGGCTGAGATCTTTCAGGACGAGAAAGCTCAACAGTCTCTTCAGGGGCCCAGGACAAACTAATGTTGATTAAAATGAATCTAAATGGTTGAAATTGGTCGCCATATAGTGTAAGATTTTGGCATTCTTACTTAAAGTCTCATGAATTGCAATTCATGACTACAGGAAGCTCTCGAGGTTGGGGGATCTCATGAGTTTTGTGTGTTTAATCCTTTGTAACTTTTTAAATGATTTTTATTTATACATTTTTTTCTTCTTTAAAATACATAGGTGCTTAATAAACAGTGTATTGTCTGGATCAATTTGTTTATACAGAATATTAATAAACTAGTAATAAAAGTAGTAATTATAATATCCATAGTTAAAATACCACAATATACTTTTTCTAGTAATTTTTTTACTTCATTTACTTCTATATTTCAGTAATCTTTCATCCTCTAATTTCTACCTCTTTTATCCAACCATTGATAAAACATATCCCATGTTAAAAAATATTCTTCTTCTTCTTCCTTATCTTTTATTATTGATGTCAGTCTATCCATCTCCACACAGTCTAGTATTTTTCTAATTATACTTTCATCTGTAGGTATATCCAGTGGTGGGATTCAAATAATTTAACAACTGGTTCTCTGCCCTAATAACCAGCTGGTGGTCATGTGACCGTGTGGGCACGGCCAACTCAACATCACTCACGTTGATGGGCGCTTCACCTTAGCTGTTACAATGTAATAAGGGTTAACCACAGAGGCAGTTTCTGTAAGCAGGGCAATAAAGATTAGGCTAGAAACACCAGAACGTTTTTTTCCTACCTTCCTTACAGGATTAGCCCTGTAAAGTGGAAAAAAACAAAAGGAGGTTTCTTCCAACAACTGGTTCTCCGAAATGCTTAGAAAGTTAACAACCGGTTCGCCTGAATAGGTGCGAACCGGCTGAATCCCACCACTGGGTATATCTTCATTTTTCCAGTATTGTGCAAATACAATTCTTGCTGCTATCAACACATGTATTATTAAATATGTATATTTAATCATTTGTAACTTAATGTTATGTTTACAGAGTTCCTGTAAAAGGTATCATCGTGCCTTGTGCTACATTGCTGTTAATGTGGGGGGTGGGGGGAAAGATAGCTGAGAAATTGGGAGCCATAGAACCATCAAAATAAGTCTTCATAGGAGCTTCCTCCAAAAGCTAACTCTATTCTCCCTTTCTTTTCTTTTCCTTGTAACTTTTCTCTTTAGCCACTCCATGCATCAAAGCTATTAGTCCAAGTGAAGGATGGACCACAGGCGGAGCTATGGTGATCATTATAGGGGACAACTTTTTTGATGGGCTTCAAGTCGTATTTGGGACCATGCTTGTGTGGAGTGAGGTAGGCATGCTTGCTTCCTAGCTGTATTCCACCCCCGTCCCCAGGCTGTTCTTGAACAGTCAAGGTAGTTTGGAATTGCCCTCATCGTTTCTCAGAGAATAAAATGCAAATGGTAGCATCAATGTAGAACAAAGTTTCATAACCTTCTTCATTGCTCTCTTTCTGTTTAATTTGAGTCCAGTCTACATAGTTATATCTTATATAAGTGCAAATGAAGGGATGCGGTGGCTCAGTGGCAAAGACGCTGAGCTTGTCGATCGAAAGGTTGGCAGATTAACAGTTCGAATCCCTAGTGCCGTGTAATGGGGTGAGCTCCCGTTACTTGTCCCAGCTTCTGCCAACCTAGTGTTGTGGCCCGCCAGGGGCCTGCATGGATTGTGGCTGATCCCGACGACGAGGAGGCTGGTGTGGTGTCGCGCCAGCAGCCTGTGCAACCGGCGCTCGAGTCGGACAGCGAGGAGGCTGACGAGGATGTGGTGCCAGAGGCAGAGACTCAACCAGGGCCTTCAGAACCTCCAGAGGCTCCTTCAAGTGAAGAGAGTGAAGTGGAGGAGCCTCTTCTCAATGCTCGAGCACGCAGGGCTGCCAAAAGGCAGGAGTGGCTACTCAGGAGGAGGTCTTCTCGAGAGTAAGGCTTGGGGTTAATTGGCCACTCCCTTAGCCTATTTAAGTTCACACATAGATAGCAAACGTTGCTATCGGACTTTGTTTAATCTCTGTAATTCATAGCAGGCTGATAAGGACATTTGTGGTTAAAGCCTGCATTTTGAAAGGGGTCTGGCTCTTTGGCTTTGAAACGGAGATGAGCACCACCCCCTAGATTCGGGAACGACTAGCACCTATGTGCGAGGGGGACCTTTACCTTTACCTAAGTGCAAATGACCATGCTTTCCTTCATTCAGATTGATTACCATCTTCCAAACAACAATGAAATACAATCTGGATGTGATTACAGATAGCATGCACATCCATGTGCATGGGCACGTGTGTGCGCGCACACACTGTCTTTTACATATAGGCCTGTACTTCTGTGCATGGGTAAAGCATACTTGACAAAACCAGAAGTTATAGTCAAAGGAATCATTCATAAAGTGTCAGAATTCAAGGTAAATAAATAAATAAATGAATAAATGAATGAATGAATGAATGAATGAATGAATGAATGAATAAATAAATAAATAAATAAATAAATAAATAAATAAATAAATAAATACAGTAAGATATCCATTTTTGATGGTGCTATATAAAATCGAAAAGAAAAACCCATGGGGAATTCCAAATTATGTTAATTCTACTTTGGAAAATGTGGAAGAAGTATTTCAGAAGTATTTCCAATCTGGAACTTCAGATTGTCCTCCTCTTCGTGTGTTTGTAGGTGTGGATGCTCACAAACTCATACACTATTCTTTATTCTTATTTACTTGAAGTTTCAAGACCTATCCTTTTAGGTATTAAAAGCACTGATCGCTAGCCCTGATGATGTTACTTAGCTTGGGTAATGAAACATCTGGAAGAAAACAAGCAAGCTCAGAGAGCACCAAGGAGCCCTCATGTCAACCCTGAGCTGCAAATTACTCTCCTTTATTAGTATCTTTCTATTCCAATGGAACACTCGCTTACATCTTTGTCTAAGAAACAGGCAAAAGCAAGAAAAGACACCCCAAATTCAACAGATAAAACAAAAGCAATTGCAAAAGAGATGTGCCTTAACAGATATTCTAAAGAGGAGTCAGAAAGGAGTGTTTTATGTAGGTTGATGGAAACGCAGGGAAAGAATTGTCTTATGCTTTCTAAGAAACTGGTTTCTTAAAGTGAGTACATTTTCAGAAGGGCTTTCCTTGATTTTAATGCCTGAACAGATTCATAATGAATGAATGAATGAATGAATCTTTCAAGATAATCAGAATCTGGACCATTTAAAAGGCTTCAAATGTTAAATACCTTAAATTGTGCTGGGAGAATTCTTAGCCCCAGTGTGATATGATCTACTAGTGACACCTACTAGTTCACAGCATAGCTTTGGGCAGTGGTGGGATTCAGCCAGTTCGCACCCCTTCGGGAGAACCGGTTGTTAACTTTCTGAGCAGTTTGGTGAACTGGTTGTTGGAAGAAATCATTAGGGCAGAGAACCAGTTGTTAAATTATTTAAATCCTACCACTGGCTTTGGGCCAATATTGTTTCCAAAGGCTCTTACTTTGTACAAAAAGCACAATGTAAGAATAAATCAGGATATATGCAAAGCCTGAATAACTGTTTCCAAGCCCTTCACAGTTAATTAGCTAAAGATGTCTTCATGTCAAGATTGGTTCCTGTTGATGACATGGATAGAATCGGGCTATTTTTCTCGACATTTACAGAAGTGGCTTCTCATTGACCCTTCCTTTCTTCCTTTCTTTCTTCCTTCCTTCCTTCCTTCCTTCCTTCCTTCCTTCCTTCCTTCCTTCCTCCCTCTCTCCCTCCCATTCCTTCCTCCCTCCCTCCCACTCCTTCCTTCCTTCCATCCATCCTTCCTTCCTTCCCTCCCTCCCACTCCTCCCTCCCTCCCACTCCTTCCTTCCTTCCTTCCTCCCTCTCTCCCTCCCACTCCTTCCTTCCTCCTTCTCTCCCTCCCACTCCTTCCTTCCTTCCATCCTTCCTCCCTCTCTCCCTCCCATTTCTTCCTTCCATCCTTCCTTCCTTCCCTCCATCCTTCCCTCCATTCTCCCTCCCTCCCTCCCTCCCTTCCTTCTTCTTGGATTTCATTTGTTTATTTCCCCATCTGAGAATTTTCTGGGATTTTCTATACTAGCAAAACCTTTTCCTGTTTAATTGTTGACCCGAGACGCTTATCTGAAGCTGACTCAAATAACTCAGCACTTTTTCAAATACCGGGGAAGTTCCCTTCGGTTGAATTTTGACCTGCAGATACATCAATAGGCAGACACTGAGAATGGATGCTACTTTTCTGGCAAAATCACAGTGGTCATAACTGTCTCAACCTGTCTCTTTTTATTCTCAGCTGATCACCCCACATGCCATCCGTGTCCAAACACCTCCTCGTCACATCCCTGGTGTGGTTGAAGTAACATTATCGTACAAATCCAAACAATTTTGCAAAGGAGCTCCTGGTAGATTTATTTATACAGGTATGTGAAAATATCACACTGCAAAGTCGAGACTGTGGAAGGACTTCATTTATTTCCTTCTCTTGAACTACTAAGGGTTATAACTGTAGTTTCATTTCAAGAATTAATCAAGGTTTTTTTTTTTCAAATGTTGTCGTTTGTATGATATTTTTTTTCAGAATGCTTTTCATTATCCGTGCATTCAGATAATGTCTGAACGAGTTTACAGTTTTTCTTGGTGAATGTGATGTCCTTGTTGAAAAACTATATTCCGTGTTTCCAAGTTAGATCTCCTCTCAGGATCAAGTTCTGAAGACAAAAATCATGAGGATTTTCATGCCTTGTTTTTGAGCTTTCCTTTAATTAGTCCGAATGAAGTAACCTTAATTAAAAGATCTTGTAAATTCTCAAAAGTTTTCTAACCTTGTAAAAACAGAACAGATTTTTTTAATAGATAATTTTTGTTGAAGTTCAGTAGGTAGTATTTTTTTTTTAACTTACTTTGTTTATTTGAATTCGAATATTATTGAATTGAATTCGGTTTTAATTGGGTTGTTTTTAATATTTTGGGCCGAAATTATTTAATTGTTTTTTAAATTGTTTTTAAATTTTATATGCAATGTTTTATCTTGGCTGTACACCGCCCTGAATCCCGCAGGAGAAGGGCGGTATAGAAATAAAATAAAATAAATAAATAAATAAATTTGTTTCTGTTAGAGATGGTGGTGATAGTTGGGACATTCTATTGGTAGGTTATTTCCTACAACACTTGCTGCACAATCTCCCTGATTGCTTACACTGGTGGTGGAAGGATGGGGGAATACACTTCCCTTGGGATTTCCAAGCTTTAACAGAAATTAGGAAAGCCAAGAAAACAAAAAAAGAAATAGATGAATGGTTGTGAAGGAAAAGACCAGCTCCTTGCCCTGATTCTGAGATTCCATTTACTGAAGACTGATCTTCTACCAACCTGTCTTCTGTACTGGGGCATACTGAAACCAGATCTGGCAGGAGAGTGATGTATTTCCCTATGGAGAGTTGAAGTTGAAGACTTTCTACGTTACACCAAGGAGGAGGAGCTTTGGCGATTCAGAGGACCTCAGTTAGTTCACTGACGGACTGCATCCCACTATAAAGTGGCTGGGCTCCATGTCTATTTCAGGAACCAGCGGTGGGTTTCAGATATTGTTACCACTGGTTTGCCATGTGCGTGAATGCTCCCTTTGTGCACACGCACACCTTCCACTCATGTGTCCAGCCTTCCATGCATGTGCTTTGCATGCACGCATACCTTCCACGCATTATTATTATTATTATTATTATTATTATTATTATTATTATTTAAATTTTTATACTGCCCTTCTCCCGAAGGACTCAGGGCAGTGTACAGCCATATTAACACAAACATATACCCATAAAATTTAAAAACAATTTAAAATTTAAAATATATAAAATTTGGCCCTTATGTTAAAAGCTACAAACACCCAGTTAAAATTCATCTTCTAAATCAGCCCGGCCTGTTGAAACAAGAGAGTCTTAAGGGCACGGCGAAAGGTACGTAGGTTGGAGATCATGCGAATCTCCGGGGGCAGTTCATTCCAGAGGGCAGGTGCCCCCACAGAGAAGGCTCTCCCGCTGGGTGTCGCCAGTCAACACTGTTTGGCCGACGGCACCCGGAGGAGTCCCTCTCTGTGGGAGCATATTGGCTGGTGGGAGGCTATCGGTGGCAGAAGGCGATCTCGTACATACCCAGGTCCTAAGCCATGGAGCGCTTTAAAGGTGGTAACCAACACCTTGAATTGCACCTGGAAGACCATCGGGAGCCAGTGCATGCACCTGGCCTCAAAAATATGCCTGAATAGGATGGCATAGTGCCAGGGTGGGTGGCCGGGCCCACCCACGATCTCCGCTACCAGTTCAGGTGAACCGATCCGAACCGGCTGAATACCACCTCTGTGCGGAACCCTAACTTTTGGGTGAATGTAGAGGGATGAACCCCTAACTCCTGCCAACCTAGCAGTTTGAAAGCATGCAAATGTAAGTAGATAAATAGGTACCACCTTGGTGGGAAAGTAAGAGTGTTCTGTGCACTTTGGAGTATAGTCAGGGGCGGGTTCTACTATCCTTTACTACCGGTTCACAATGGGGCCGCACTCACGCACGTGCTTCACTCGCGCGCACAAGCACTCTTCTGAGCATGTGCAGAAGCATTTTGATGACGGCAGGGTCGGTGGGCGGAGCCTCCCACCAGTTTTACTACCGGTTCTATAGAACCGGTGCGAACCGGGGACAACCCACCACTGAGTATAGTCATGCTGGACACATGACCACAGATGCCTCTTTGGACAATGCTGGCTCCCAATGCTGAACACCTTCCCCACGCTCCACCCCCAGAGTTAAACATAACTTGGCAGGGACATATTTTACCTGGTTGTTTTTTGTTTTTTTTTAAAAAGGATGAACAGAGAAATATCAACTTATGGAAAATCAAAAGTGGGTCTCCCATGAGCTCAATATTCCTGCTGATAAGCAGAAATAAGACTTTAAAGGAATCTTATTCCTTTAGAAAAAAGTTTAAAGGACATTCGTGAATGCCAAATCTAACTTAAAGTCATTCCACCAAGAATCTTGATCCCTAATTGTCTGTATGGGCACAATAAAAACCTTGAAGCAGCCAGCTCAAGTTTTTGGAAGACTGTTTTGACGGGTATTTAAGGAGTCCTGGTTGCTTTAGTTCTTACCAGGTGCAACTTTCAGACCAAAAGCAAGTGTCGTCCCACATAATGCTCACGTTGGTACTTAATGGATGTGTTTACCAGAGCATCTATCCAATCTGAAATCCAGGGAAGACTGAAAAACAGATCAGTGGATTGTGGTTGTTTTTCACTCCACCGCTGCTGTTTGGCCATACAGAGGAATGAAGGCAAGGAAATTGGTGGAGATTCTTTGTTAGGTTCACCCAAGGAGAGAGGGGGAAAAAAAGTTGTTTTGCTGGTATCTGCTAGAAGATGCTTCCCAAAATTAGCAAGGGTAAAATCAAGCAATTTCTCAGTCTCTCCGTCTAAGTAGATCATGACAAGCAAAGTGATAAACACAACTATTAAATACAGCTGCACCTGGTGTAACCAATTCCCCCAGCTCTTTCTGGGGCTGGTAGCAAAATGCTTTCAAGAAAGACACAGAACAATAAAAGAACTTCCAAGCTGCGCAATTAACCCGGTGTGTTGTTTGTCTCCTCCGTTCCCTGTATCAGCAGTGATCAGAACCTATTATGACGACAGTAGGTTTTTTCTTTTTTAACAAGCTATAGATTACATTATTAACAATGATGGTATGCTTTAAAAGAAGAAACTACTCATTATTCTGTTTTGGTTTTTTTGCTTTGTTTTTTGCCCGAAGCAGGAGAATGTTTTTCTCTATAACCGAAGCCTGTCTTATCTTGGAAAACATGCCACACATTTCCTGCAAAATTGCCAGAGGAATATTAAATTGGCAGGGCGGGTAATGCCATATTTACTAGTGCGAACGAAAGTCCTCTCATCTCAAAGGGAAAAGAAAATAGAAGGAAAAATAAACTATAAATACAAGGAAAGTATCCTGCGACGTGCCCAGGTTTTCCATCTTGTTTACTTAAAATTGTTATTCCAGGTGAAATCCATCCTAGGGATTTCTCCCTCTCTAAATGGGCATGAGATTTGTATTTGTATATGTATGTGTGTGTGTGTGTGTGTGTATGAAACCCCACTCCAGAAGAGGGCATGGATAGGACAAAATAAAAATTAATTAATAACCACTGGTTCAAATTAATTACCTATAAAATAAAGTAACCATTATAAAATTAATTCATTGCCTGTAAAATAAGAACCCCGTACATAAATAAAATTAATTCATTGCTTGTAAAAGAAAAAGGCAATTTAAAAAATTAATTTATCTGCATGTAACCAGCCTTTCTCTCTTGCTCATACCAACCACTCTCGTTCATAGAAACTAACAAGTATGTGTGTTAACACACGTTCCTCTTTCTCCATTCATCATTAAGTGGGGGGGGGGAGGAGAATGGCTGAATAGGAGATGAGGGTAAGGAACAGTTGTAAAGGAAGAGAAATGGGAGGAAAAATTGGATGTAGGAGAAGAGATATATATGAACAAGGAAAGACCAAAAATAAACAGAAACTCTGGTTACAAAACGGTGAAGTTCACCAGGCAAGCAGTCCTTCCCAAATGATGGCTAGCCTTCAAAGCAGGGGTGAAATCTGGCAGGTTCTGACAGGTTCTGGAGAACCGGTAGCGGAAATTTTGAGTAGTTTGGAGAACCCGCAAATACCACCTCTGGCTGGTCCCAGAGTGGGGTGGGAATGGAGATTTTGCAGTATCCTTCCCCTGCCACGCCCACAAAGCCACACCATGGCCACCAAGCCACGGCCACCAAACCAATAGTAAAAAAAATTGAATTTCACCACTGCTTCAAAGGCATCCACATCAATATTTTTTCAGCTATTTGCATCTCCTAACTTTGCTCATTTTCAACAGGGTCTTCGGTCCATCATAGCAAGATGACTCTTATGCCCATGCAAATTTATATTTTTTTAATGTCTTTCTTTTAATTTAATTTATTTAGAGTTGTAATTTCTATGTACATCTGAGCATTATAGGGCATAATGCTCAAATGTACATGGGTTCTGATGATTCTTAATCTGTTTGACTTGCACACTTTTTATCATGTGGCAGTTGCCTGACTTTTCTTTAATCAGTGCAAGACAGGACAAATATCTGCTAAAATATAACATGACATAAAATCGTATAGTTTATCCTTGAGGTCCAGCCATTCAAAAATGGCCATAGATGCAACCTTCAAATTAATATTATTATACATGTGACAGTATCCCCCTCTTTTTCTTCATTGTTTGCTTTTATTTTTTTGGTGCAGTGTTTTACTGGTGCAGTGCACACAGCACATCACACAAAAAAATATTGATAGAACTGTATTTAAAATCAAGTCAAGTCTGCCTTTGTATTACAGT